CTGGGCGGGGCCACGGGGGGCAGGGCGGGGCCACCTGGTGGGAGGATGTGTGGGAGCATGCAGGACAAGGGGTCTGGGGGGTCCCGCATCCGCCCCTCTGGAAGAGCTGCAGGTTCAGACCCGGGGATTAGGCCACCACGGGAGAACCGCAGGTTCCTCCGGGCGCTGCCCCGGGTGGGGCTGGGGGGGCACTGGCATGGAAATGAGCCGGGCTCCGTCCTGGGTGGGAATGGAGGCCGGCGCTTTCCCCTCCACACAAGTGCCAAGCGCAGCCCCTGAATCAAGGCCTCAGTTGTCAGAAGGCACAGCCCAGCCACCAAAACGCGAACCTCGGGGGACCCGGGGGGCGCCGGGAGCGGCCCCTTCGTGGGCCCCCCACCCCCAACCGCCGCCGCATCCTTCAGGCCATTTTCTTCGGCGGCATCGACGTGTCCATCCGAGGGGAGGTCTGGCCCTTCCTGCTGCGTTACTACAGCCACGAGTCCACGTCGGAGGAGAGGGAGGCGCTGCGGGCGCGGAAGCGGAAGGAATACGAGGAGATCCAGCAGAGAAGGTGCCCCGCCCGGGAGGCCACTCGGGGAGGCCGTGGGGGGTGCGCGTCCGCGTGGGCAGGGTGTCCCGCCCGGGCCCCTGAGCGCGGTCGTTACCCCAGGCGCCCTTTAGCTCAGTGTCCAAGGTTTAGAATTCTTTTCAACACTTAACAAGGCGCTGGGGTGGCGGCAGGGCCTCGGGCCGCGGGGGAGCCAGGGCGGCTGAGGTCATCGGGGCCTGGCTGACCCCGGGCGGCAGCCAGCTCTCCTCCCACGAGGCCAAGTTCATGCCGGGGAACTCCCTCCCCCAAGTCAGTGGGAAGCCGGAGGGTCCCCAGTTCCCAGCCAGGATCAGGGCTGGGAGGGGCGCAGTGCGCGGGCCGCTCGCTGACCCCAGGGCGCCGGCTCTGCCACAGGCTCTCCATGACCCCCGAGGAGCACAGGGCGTTCTGGCGCAACGTGCAGTTCACCGTGGACAAGGACGTGGTCCGGACGGATCGCAGCAACCAGTTCTTCCGAGGCGAAGGCAACCCGAACGTGGAGACCATGAGGTAGGCCCTCCCCGGGCCTCAGGTGACCCTCCTGGAAGTAGAGGCGCAGCTGCATCTCCGGGGGGGCGGGATCTTTCTCCGGGGTTCCTACAATCACCCCAGAAGCAGAAGGTCATTAGCTATTTTAGCCAACTTCACTCAGCCTCTGTGGTCATAGTGGCCAAGGGAAGCCCGGAGGTCCCTCCCACAGGTGCCAGCAAAGCCACCGACCCCTGGGCATCCACTGGGTGCACACAGACTGTGGCTGAGCCTCCCCGAGTGTCTCCCAATGGGTGGTCCTCTGGGTGTTCAAGCCACAATGAGCCCCGGACTGGCATCTCGGACATTCTGCTGCCACCTGGCGAGTAATTACACAAAATTAGCAGCCCATAAAAATGTCCCTGCCAACCCAGCCTTTGTCACAGGCAGGCGGCCATTAAGAAAATCAGACCCACGTTCTTCCTCCCCCCTGCACTGAGCCTGGCAAGTAGCTAATTGCAGGCTGTTACCTTTCTCAGGGCTCAGGAGACAGTCCCCAAGCCCTGCCCACTTCCCCTGGGGTTGAGGTGAAGGACAGGGGTCCGGGCAGCCCGAGGTCTCCAGCCTGGGTTCTGCTGGCCCTGGGCAACATGCCACTGTCAGGACAGCAAGGGTGGGCATGTCGTGGCCACCTCGCTGACCTCGCTGCTCTCGGGGCCACGTTGCCAGGAGGATCCTGCTGAACTACGCGGTGTACAACCCGGCCATCGGCTACTCCCAGGGCATGTCGGACCTGGTGGCACCCATCCTGGCCGAGGTCCTGGACGAATCAGACACCTTCTGGTGCTTTGTGGGCCTGATGCAGAACACGATCTTTGTCAGTTCTCCCCGGGACGAGGTCATGGAGAAGCAGCTGGTGAGGCTCGGGGACGTGCGTGGTTGCAAGTGACATGGCCGCAGAGGGTCAGCAGGAAAGCCAGGGTGGGCCTGGCCAATGGGGTACAGGATGGAGAAAGTGGCGGGTGGGGAGGGACCCGCAGAATCGGTTCCTGCAAGGGCTGGTGTGCCCCGGTCCTGTCTCAGCAGGAACAAAGGGCCGCTTGTGTGGGGAGGGGTCTGTGAGTCACTGAGCCCCTGCCCCCAGCTCCCCCACCCAGGCTGTGCTCGAGGGCCGTGTGATCCCAGCCCTCGCTTCACTCTCCACCTCCGAGTGATGTCAGGTTTCCACGGTACCCGGGGAGGCAATTACGGGGTCTGACGCCACTCGTCCCTGACTCGCTCGCAAAGCACGGGGCCCTGTGACTCGTTAGCCGCTGGAGATTGATTTTCCAGTGGCGCTGGCGAAGTCAGCAGCCCGAGCCCGGCGCTGCCACAAATAGCCTCGATCCTGTCCCATGTCACTGGGTGGTGACCTTAAGTGCCAGAATTGAGCTTCCTGGGGTTCAGAGCTGTCCCCTCCTTGCTCTGTGTCAGCCCCAGAAAATGATGGGTCTTGTAGATCTGAGTGGGAGGCGATTGGACCTGGGGTTCCCAAGAAAGCGGGGGGGGGGGTCTGAAACAGCCCCCACGTGGTTGCTGAGGCCCGGCAGAGTCTTCCAAGCACCGAGCTGCCCTTGGCCTCCGGTCCACAGCAGGGAGCAATGCTCCGCCTGCCCTGGACCCCACCATGGCCTCCAGGGCAGTCTCAGATCTGGGATAAACCAGCAAAGACAGGTGGGGGTCAGAGTCCCACAGTGAATGAAATAAGCAGGTGTAGAAACAGCAGAGTGACCTCGTGTACAGCACGTGTCTGTCCCTGGGTTGGGTGGCCCGAGGAAGGCCCCGGGGGAGGGGTTTCCTGGGCTAGGCAGGAGTCCGGCACGGGGTGGGCTTGGGGCTGACTGGTCCTGCCTCACCCAGCTGTACCTGCGGGAGCTGCTGCGGCTGACGCACCTGCGCTTCTACCAGCACCTGGTCTCGCTGGGCGAGGACGGCCTGCAGATGCTCTTCTGCCACCGCTGGCTGCTGCTGTGCTTCAAGCGCGAGTTCCCCGAGGCCGAGGCCCTGCGCATCTGGGAGGCCTGCTGGGCCCACTACCAGGTAGGCAGGGTGGGCGCCGAGGGGAGGGCGGGCAGGACCACGTTGGGAGTGACAGTTGACACCCTGCACCCTGCCTTCCAGGAGGGCAGGATGCCAGCGTAACTGTACACCTCCTCTGGGGTCCCCCTCCTCTGAAACCCCAACCCTCCACTAGCCCCGAGTCAGCCCCTCACACTGCCACCACCTCTGGCCCACGTGGCCTCCAGCCCACGTGGCCTCCTCCCCACGTGGCCCACTGCAGACCTGCAGCTTGCCTCCCAAGGAACTGAAATTGATGCAGATTGCCCACTGACTGTGCTCACTGCCACCTTCTGGGGCTGAGCTCGTTCCTGTCACAACCAATCAGCGTGAAAGACATTTCCGGGGCCAGGCAGGCCCACGGCAACCCAGAACACCGGTGCCCACGTGTGGGGGCCAGTGCCCGCCCACTTCTCCCCTTGGGACGGCTCAGGGAACAGGCCGAGACCCCGCTCGCCCCTCGGAGAGCCCAGGACCCGCCCGCCTCCCCCTCCCAGTCATGTCAATTTCCACCTGCCGTCCACCGTCATCAGCGTCTCCTCTCGAATCTCCCTGAGAGCGCAGCGCTGGCCCTGTCACATGGCTTTAACACCCACATGAGCGACAAGCTGACAATGCTCAAGGAGAGGCAAGTCTCTTTGAATCCAACAGCCTTTAAAATAAAAGAAAAAAGAAAAAAACTGACGCATCTGGAGCTGGCCAGGACCCTTTCTGCAAGACCCATTCTCAATGAGGCAACCTGAGCAGCCTCGATTCCACTCACCGTGTGGATGGACGGAGCCCCCACCAGCTCCACGGGCGTGTTCGGAGGAAATGTCTGCCCACTGGGACAAGCGCCGGTGTGGACTTTCCAAAACTCTGTGGCACATTGTTTTCCTGACTGTCTCTGCTTTGCAAGGCCTCACCGCCCGTCTCCCCCAGACACAAAATTGCCACTGTCATTGCACCACGTGTAGGCTGATGTTACAGGTGAACCCTGAGCCTCCCCCAGCAGGCAGAGCGACTTCTCGAGGCAACTTCATTACTGTGACTGGATAAAAATTCCTGGAGAGGCCAGTTGGGATGTTGCTCCTGGCTCGACCTCCACAAATCAAGTGCAGGTCATTTTCAGGATTCCAGCTAAATTTAGCCACATTTGACTCCCCTCCTTGATCAAATTACAGATGTGGAGGGGACAGTGGTAGTAGGGGGTGCGCTGACTCATCAGTAGTGAGCTCTGGGTGGGGGTCACTACCAGGTGGTGCCTTTAACTTTTTTAAAAAATATGCTTTTATTGATTTGAGAGAGAGAGGAAGGGAGAGGGAGAGAGAGAGACATCAATGTGAGAAATATCAATCGGTTGCCTCCCACATGCACCCCGACCAAGGATCAAACCCAAAACCCAGGTATGTGCCCTGACTGGGAATCGAACCAGTGACCTTTTGGTGCTGGACGACACTCAACCAACTGACCACATCGGCCAGGGCCCTTTAACTTTGAAGGTAACCCCTGGGTGAGAAAGGCTCTGTTCTAGCCACTCGCTGCTAGTGGGGGGGATGCCCTGCACCCCCTGGCCCGGTTTGGAAACACGGTTCCATCCGGCTGAGTGGTCGACATGAGGAGACTAAACACGGGCTTCCCGGTGTTCCTTGTCCTTCCTCTGCTCCCGGAAACGCATTTGCATCAAAGTCCACAAGTCCTCACAGCGTCCGGACAGGAGAGTGAGCAGGATGCTCCAAGGTCAGGACCCAGTGCCAGCTTCCTGCAGGGGGCTGGGCGTTGCCCCTCCTTGGGGACCGGCAGGGGCCTGCCATGCTCGCTCGTTAGGATCTTCCATTTTCTCAGCTACAAACCTAAGCATCCTCTCTGGGGCAGGAGCTGGGACTTTCGGCCTGGAGGCAGGAAGGCACTGACTGGTGGGTGGCAGCCACGGGGTTCTGCCTCACAGGCGTGTTCCACGAGCCACTGGAGTGTGTTCTCACCCAGCCTTTTACACCCACCGTATCGCAAGACTTTTACCAACCGGCCTTCAGATGACGTGCGCTCTTTATCCCCCAGACAGAGAGCACCCAAAGGGCCCCCCGAAAAAGTAGCAGCAGCCGTGGAGGGCCAGGACCAACGTCATCCCTTCGAGTGTCACAGCAGCCTGTGGGTGCTGACTGTTATAGGTGCTGGCATTGGCCCTTGCAGGTGGAGAAACTGAGGACAAAAGAGGCGGTGTGGCTTGCCCAAGGCCATGTAACCCGCCCAGGCAGCCTCACCTGCAGGCCGGCCAGCCAGGGTTGAGTCAGGGGCCTTATCTGAACCCCTCTCTCCGCCCCCAGACGGACTACTTCCACCTGTTCATCTGCGTGGCCATCGTGGCCATCTACGGGGATGACGTCATTGAGCAGCAGCTGGCCACCGACCAGATGCTCCTGCACTTTGGAAACTTGGCCATGCATATGAACGGGGAGCTGGTGCTCAGGAAGGTGAGAGCCCCGCCCACCACACAGAGCCCCGCCCCGCAGAGCCCCGCC